AAACAGGGAGAGAAAAAATCTTGGCAAATTCTAGTTGCTTGCTTAAGGCACTTACATCATTCTTTTTGTTTAAGTTCCTTCTCCTCCCCCTCTCCTTTTTCCTGTTACTGTCTAAACATTAGCTGAGAGGGCAACTGTTCTGGTAGTCTGAAATGGCTCATAATGGAAATGAGCAGACGTTTCTGCTTTACTCAGAAAAGGTGATAGCTACCAAGGAAACGATAATAAACTCCCAGTGTGCGTAGGAGGTGGCAGTAAATGGGAAAAAGTTAATCATTCTGGTATATGGCTCCATGAACACAAGGGTACATGTCTCAGTGCATTTTTCTCCTTCCCACAGCTGTGGCAAGAGATCCTGGCAAAGAATGGATTGTTAAGGCTGCTTTCTTCTTAATTATTGTAGTCTGGTGAAGATTGAAATTAAAGGTCGTCTCTTTTGTCGCGTCCGTAGCAGAGGCTGTGAGCTTTTGAAGAAGTCATTGTGCTTAATTCTCTGGGAGCATTAGTTATCATCTCACTGTTTGTTTCAAGGTTGCGTGCATCTCCAAGCCTCTTGCATCTACGTCATTCCCCCTGTTTACTTTATTAGACAGGATGGATCCTCCCAGCGTTCCCACCCTGGCGCTCTTTCAAGCTGTTGGTCCATATCTCTTCTGAACATTTCTTTCATCTCCTTGTTCTGATCTTTTTAAAGAAACAACAGTGACCCATTCCATAAGAATGTTCTCCTTTTTCTGCCCTTGTGGCCTGGTGCCCACAGTTGTGTCATTCTGTGGATGAAGGTTTTTCTAATTGAAGCGAGATTGGTACAAGTTTGTCTCGGAAGAGGTAAGAAAAATCTTACAGTTGTGGCACCCGCTACCTATACCTCAGGAGGCGAGCACTTTTGAGAACATCCCCAGCAACGAGCCTTAATGCATATTTCTGAAAAGTGCTCCCTTCTTGCAAAAACCCTTGAGCTTCCAGTTGCTTTTGACAGCACTAGGTGGGGCCCACTGGCACATAAGCTGCGTTGCGAACTGCCCCAGTACAGGATGGCAGGCATGTTTGTGATCAATCTAAGACACCACTTCCACCGAGGAAATGTGGGAAGCAGCTGTACTGCTTCTGCTTTTTTCCTTGTAATAATCTGGTGCTGTTTCCCTGGTTGTGGGGAGGGGGAGGCCCTCTTCAATAGCATTCAGATTTCTTGCTGCTGACCCCCAAAAGGATTGTGGATGTTATGTCACTCAGATTTTTCTTTGGCTGGATGCAAAGTGTTTGTCCAAAATCTGGATGGTTCTGCTTGACTTCTCAAACTAAATGGGTGCCTTCTACCCACCCAACTGTAAAGCACATTGCTTTGGGCAAGTCAAAGGCAGTTACTTGGTGTGTTCCGGCTCAGACACCACCCTGTAAACACAGAGAAACTGATGTGCTTCATCCACAACTGACCAAGGAAGAAGGCACAGCGCTCAGAAAGAGGAGGAGTGGATGGCTTAACCCAGGTTCCCCAAACTGGACTTGTTCAGATCTCCTGGCCTGCAGGAGTTGTAGGTCAAGACTTCTGGATGGTACCAGTTTGGGGGAGACTGGCTCAATTAGTAGGCTTTGGTCTCAAATGAAAAAACTTCCCTTTTTTATCCAAGAGCAGAGAGGTTCTTTTAACTTTGGGAGAAGGTCAATGCATGGGGTGAGGCTATGATATTGTGGCACTCTTCTGGAGTAGGCCATTTCCACCTATTAGAATAGGAAAAACAAACAGGTAGCGTTTGGAAAGCCTCCAAAGAATTGGTGGCCAGGAGAAAGCAGTGTGATCAGGAAATGAGGCATAGTTATCTGGAGAATATTGGAAGCTGGATTTGGCTCCCAGGAGGGCACAGATTTCACACATGGGACTTAAGTTCCCCATCCCTACTTTATGCTATACAGTATATCAAGCATGACCCATAATTTGATATTTCATTGTAATATGGAATGTTAACATTAGTCTGAAACATGACCTTCCCTTTGACATCTTTTGTTTATTCAGTTGCATATTCTCTTATATTGCTTTGAAATATCAAAAAGATAACTGTGTTCCTATTTGCATAATATGCAAATCTATTTTAATATACCAAAAGGAAGATGATTTTAAAAAAATTGACAGCCCTGCTCAAAATAGATTCTTCCATTTGTGCAACCACTCCAAAGCAATTCTCTCTTCTTCTTAATTCAAGTCAACCATGTTGTATTTTAATTTAATATTTATATTTTTAATTTATATTATAATTATTTTAACTTAATGATGTGAGCCGCCCCGAGGCTTCGGCGAATGGGGCGGCATAAAAATGTTTAAATAAATAAATAAATAAATAAATAAAATAAAACCACTCAGTACACAGTAATTGTTGACTGATTTTTCCATGCTGAAAACTAATCAGATAAGTAAGTGTGTACATTATCTTATTTTGGTGGATTTTATGGATTCAACTAAAGTAGCAGGAATACTACAGGATATAGTTTATAGGGCTGTATTGAGGCCTTCAAGTTTAGGATAGGGTACCATTCTGCCTTGGCAAGAGGTGTGGCAAGACGTTTTAGCTTCTCCTTCAGTCAAGGCTGCCACACACAGCTGAGTAACTCAGTGTAAATGCTCATCACCTTGCAAAGTGCACTAAAAACCAATTATTTTGCAAGTATCCCATTTTCGGTTAGTCAAAAACAGGTCATTGCGGAACGGAAGCAAATGAGGGACTGTTGAACTAATTTGCATTAGCGGGAAAAAGGAGACTGGAGTTTCATAATATACTATCAAAATTTGACTTTTACAGGCAGACCTTTGTGTGCCTGCTCAGATGTGAGTCCCAATGAGTTTAATGGAGTTTTCTCTTGGGTGGAGGATTGCAGCCTTCAAACAAACAAGCAAAGGCATTTGTATTCTAAGTACCCATGTGGAATAAAGTGAATGGTTGAAAGAATCCCAGCCATTGAGCTTTAATTTGAGGAGCATGGCTGTTTCTGTATGCACCATTTCTGTGGGGTTTTTTGTTCTTTGGAAATGTTTCCTTCTTCGTTTTTGGGAGCTTTCCATTCATCTAGAGTTATCTGCCTTCTCTAGAATGCAAGAATGAACACGCTAATGGCTTCTGGCGTTCCTTGCTCTATCCACTTGAGCCAAGAAGTGAAGTGTTCCAGGCCTTTGTGAAGGCCTCCGAGAATGACGACCCTTATGGCTTGTCTGCCTTCCCCTGAACGCCTCACTTGGCTGAGAGCCTCAGGACTGCGTCTGCCATGCAGCCTTGTACAAAAAGAAAGCAGTGGGGAGAAGCATGCTTTGTCTGCAAACAGATGCAGTGCATTTTTTAGATAGGTCTGGGCTAATTTTCCATTGCAAATCTACATAGCACAGTGCGCTATAATTGCTGCGAAGTGAAGCCCAGTGCACCATGTCATGTTCTCCTCCAGACTCCGCAGTACTGCTTTTTCTCTCATCAAATAAGGTGAGGCAGGTATCTACTGGGGAGAGCCTTTTCAGTGCTGGCACCCACCCCAGTTGGGAATTATTGGGAGATGAACAATTTTGAGTTTGACTACATGATTAATGTGCCTAAGAATATGGTTAAAGCATAGGTTCCAATTCTGGGCTGTTCTTTCCCCAGACAAACCATTTTATTTATTTATAAATTTATTTATTTGTGACACTTGGCTCTCTAGCCACTCACAGAACACTGATATACAGAATAAAATCAGCAGTTTTAAAAACTAATAATCCAACATCTTAAAACAAAAATTAACATGGCAGCAGGAGGCGTTGTACATGACAAATAAAAGCAAGCAGGAAGAAAAGTACCGTAATTATATGAAAAACAAATGCAATATAAAAATGCCTTCACCTGGCAATGGCAGCTGAACAACGAGGTCGCCACTTGTGCCTCCTTAGGAAGGGCATTCCAAAGACGAGGCATGATGACAGAAAAAGCCCTTGTTTCCCCCATTGCTCTGTATGTCATGCTAAAAACCCTGTCCCTGGTTGTTGAGTTCTGATGAGCCAGAGAGTATTGGCTATCAGTAGCATGGAAATCAATGAATATATCAGTGATGCCGATCTGTGCTGCCAGGTTGTGTGGTTTGCCCAGGATCCTGTGCTGAGGCCTGTTCTCATGCCATTCTCCTGATTCTTGATACAGCTGGAGAAGAGAGCCGCAGTGTATTGTCCAGGCCTTTTGGAAGGAGTGCAATGGGTCCTGTTCTCATGGTCATGCCCCTGGAGGTGTATTTGTGGCAAAGGTTTAAATCCAAACTCAAAGGTTCCCCAGACAGCTAAGACAGGTTATTATGCGGGCGAGTGTAAGGTAGAGGTTAGGACTGGACTAAGATTGAAGAGATGTGGGTTCTAGCCCTAGAACCCACAGCCCTAAAGCTCAATGGGTAACTTTGAGCCACTCACTGACTCTCTACCTAACCTACCTCCTAGGGTTGTTATGAAGATAAATTGGAAAGGAGGAGGGCCACACAAGCCACCTTGCTTTCCTGTCAAGAAGGGAAAAATTGTACATTGAAAATAGAAGAATGAAATAGAATATGAACAGGTATAAAGGCCTGGGAGAAAACCTGGGGGAAATGTGTGCAAGAATAAGTTGGGAGGAAACTAGAAAGAATTTAAAACATTATTCCCTTGAATTTTCCCAGGTCATCTTTTTTCCTAAAATTTTATGTGGGTTTTCCAATTCCCCCCCCCCCACGAAACTTGCACATCTCTAGTTATATGTCTTCTCTGTTTTGTTTTGTTTTGTTTTGTTTTGTTTTGTTTTGTTTTGTTTTTTTAATTGATTTAGTCAGCAGATTCTGAAGTGGTTTGTTTTTGCTACATCCACAGAAATGTTTGGGTGGAGGGTGCGATTTCAACTTTTTGCTTCAGGAACGATGATGCTTGAGACTATTGCTAAATGTCTGCTCACATTTACCCTCTCCTTTAAACAATCCAAGCGCATCGAACTTGGACATATTAAGTTCTCCCCTGCTCTCTGTTTTCCCTACAGAATCTTATGGCAAGAGCACTCTATGACAATGTCCCAGAATGTGCAGAAGAGCTGGCCTTCCGCAAAGGGGACATTTTGACAGTGATCGAACAGAATACCGAAGGACTGGAAGGATGGTGGCTCTGCTCCTTACATGGGCGGCAAGGCATTGTCCCTGGCAACCGTGTGAAACTTCTGATAGGCCCTGTTCAGGAGACACCCTCTTCCCAAGACACACCAAATTCAGGATCTGGACATCAGCCCTTTAACCAGCAGAAGATCTACCAAGTGCCAAGTGCACATGCTTCTCCTCGGGATCCAGTCTACCAAGTGCCACCTTCTTACCTGAGTCAGGGAATCTACCAAGTACCTACAGGCCATAGTTTTCAGGGGCAAGATGTCTACCAGGTGCCTCCATCTGGGCAGAGAAGTTTTGGCGGAATGGATGGCTCTCCTGTAAGCTGCAAGGTGGGTACAATTTACCTTGAGGCATGCACTTCATTTCAAATTATTTTTCTCAAACTGGATAATTATGGGGTCTTTCTCAGTTTGGTGAACACAAAATGGATGAAGGTACAGTTTGTCCATTGCTTTCCTACCACCAGTGCTGCAGATATGTACGCTCTGCATTCACCTGGCACGGTTAGTAACCAAGAGGGATGACCAACCACTGCAGGACAAGATTTTCCCCCACAGAAGATAATGGAACCAGTTGACCCAAGAGCATTGCACTTAGAGGTTCAAGTCTAGACCATGGCCAGTAGCTGGGCTAATGTCTGGTCAATCTGGCCATTTGTTCCACATTGGCATGGCTCCCAATGGGTGTTGACAGCCCCCCCCCCCCCCCCCAGCATTCCCTTCCTTACTCTGGTGCAGAAGAAATTCATTCCACCCTGGACATTTCTTAGAAAGCAGCACACGAATCATCACCCATTAGTTACTAGTAGGGTTGAAAGTGTCAGTTCGTTGCTTCTTCCACTCAGGCTTTGGTTACTTGTTCTGTCAGACCCTGACGGACATGGGAAATGCTGTAGGTTCCCATGTTTGGTAGCAGCCTAGATTTTTGTGTACAGGAAACCCAAAACATCGTATTGAGAGTGGCTCTTGTCGCCGCCATAGATCTCTGGTATCCCACTCCGTGATGGTCAGTCTTCATTTGTTCATTTTAATAATTGTGCAACTTTCTGGAAAAACACTACTTTATTTAAATGGTTCGTGTTGCAAGATTTATTTTTAAGAGATGATGCAATATGTGACAAGATGTGTACCATGAAGAACAGGAAGTCTAGATTATCTTAATTAAATGGGTGACTCTAGCTAAAGTCTAGCCCACATAAAGCGACACTTGGCATTCCTCTCCTGGGTTAGGTGCCCATCTCATGAGTCAAGACAATTACCTCTTGAAAGTTAAACGAAGGATTGTTTTGTAAAGATCCATTGCGTTTCATCTGATATGGAGCAGCTGGAAGGCAGGCCTATCAGTAAATCCTCCAGAATATTTCAAGCTTGTTACTTAGCCCTTATAAATGTGCCTCGGTGACGTACAGCAGACAGGGATACTCAGCCAGGAAGTGCATGTCTGGAAGGTGCCACGGTTTAATCTTTCATTGCAGTTGATGTTGGCAGGAATTCTGCATCTTTCCTTTTTAAACTTAAAGCCACAATCCTTCCATGATTCATGCCCCATTCGCTTTAAGGTAGTCGAAGCAAACAGGAGCTTCTGAGAAGCAGATTTTTCCATTTGAGCACTATAGGAACCCTTTCCTGAGGTTCTGACTGCTGGCTTGTTGCCCACCTGCCCACAGATTCCTATTGTGATAGTCACACATAACCCAAAAGTTTGTAAAAGTTCCCTCGTGCAGTCATCTGGAGGCAATGTTTAGGTGCCACATTTAAGTGTCTGGCAAGTGGCTGTTTGCAAGCTTGCTCTAAACGGGTTTCATTTGTTTGGAATCTTCCTCTTTATAAGAAAACAGAGATCAGGTGAGCAGCTGAGATGCTACAAGTGTTACCAAAACTAGGGAAATCACAGCAGAACATGCAGGACGCAGCTCACTAGCCGTCCAGCATGACCTGTTGGGTGCTATTTATGTATGTGATTTATATCCCACCTTTCCTCACAAAAAGGCTCAGGGCAGCGAACAGGCTGCGTAAAACACAGTACCTCACATAAGCAATGGTAAAAGTATGGCTTTAAAATCACAAACATATAATAAAATATGATAAAAACATCAGCACAGTTAGTCAGAAATCACAGTCACAGAACACTTGCCTACTTCGCCAAAAGCCAGTGCAAACAAATAGTCTTTTAACCAGCATCAAAGTAGCAACTTTGTGGGGACCCTTCAGCCCCTACAAGAAGAGAGTTTCATGGCTCTTCCCACAGGCCGCATTCCCCAGGGCACCATCACCAAAGCCACTTTGACTGAGCTTAATTCCCGGATGGTTGGTGTTGGGAAGGCAGCCCTTCATTACAGGCCTCTGAAGCAACTGCTGTGTGGGTGTCCCATCCTCACATTCCCCCAGAGTTCACTTGGCAGAGTTGTGACCTCCCCAGCTTGATTCCACAGTTCCCCATCTGGTTGTGGTCTGCCCTGAAGGGAGAGTGGATTAGACAAGCTTTCTAACCAAGCTGCCCAGCCAGTGAAAGATTGCCCATAGGATTTCATGGGTTGTATCCATTCTTAGCCCTACGTAGAGTATACCAATTGAAGTGAATGGGACCAAACTGACCCATGGCTCAATTTAACTCTCAGTCATTCTTATGAGTCTGCTCTAAGAAGGATGGAACATTGGATACAACCTCGTATGGTCAAACTACAGAAGATTCTTCAGATCAGTGCAGAAAACTTTTCCTGTCTTGGTAACAAATACTAGTTATTGGAATATTGGAAAGCAGTTGTTTAACAATTGAACAATAATTGAGTATGTAATGCAAGCTAGACTGGGACAAATCAGCTGAGAAAATGTGGTTATTAACTGGTTATATCTAAAATTTCCCACTTTTGGAATTGTATAAGATTTTTGCATTAAGTGAAAGTGTTAATAGCAGATTTCTTAATGTTAAAAAGATTTCCCAGAGCAGATTGGGCAATTGAGGAAGCCAATTGATAGGCTCCAACATCCTTGTGGAGGAGCCTATCCATCTGCTCGGAGCCCTCTTCTTTCACAGGGTGGCAAGGGAGACAAGAGATTATCTCCTCTCTAAATGGCCCAGTGAATGGTCTGTAAAGCAATTGCTGATGACTTCCAGGAGTAAGATGTTTCTGAATAAAAAGATACTGTTTTATATGCCAGAATGTCTGTCTCTGTGTCTTCTCTCCAATGTTGAATCTGTGTGTGGAGGCCCACTCCAATCACAGATCTCACATACCTTCTTTTTTCCAGTCTTGGCAAGCTGCAGAAGATCCTGGAGGTTTATTCAGTCCATTGTGGGCTACCAAACATGACTGTTGAGCTGTGCTCAGTTCAGCAAGTTATAGAAGGGGATGGGCAGAAGATACATTGCTAGATGTTTGGAACTTCAGCTCCCGGAAGCCCCTGCCAGCATGGTCAATGGTCCGAGATGCTGGGAGTTGAAGTCCAAACATCTGGAGTTGTACCTTCTACTCACCTCTGAGTCACAGAATGTGCAGGCCTGATTTTAAAAGGTGAAAATAAATTAGAAAATTAATTTAGTTGCCTGTGCTACCATTTTCTATGCCTGGAGAACAGACTGCAAGAAACATTGAGTGGGCATCAGCGCCTGGCTACCTTGTCAGCTCACAAATAATGTCCTCTGACCTCATGGAATCACTGGTCCTTGACTGAGTCATGAGTCCAGCTTCATCTTCAGTTCTTTCATTGTCTGCAGTTATGAGGGGCAAGAAAAAATTAAGATGTTATATTTTCCCTTGGAGAAAATTTCTATACCATTCATACCTGCATTTATTCCTGCTGTTCTGGGCTGTTGTGCTGTAATCAATCCTATTAGATGGGTATATTTAGGAGATGAATGCCTATAAGTTATTCTTCTAAGGCAAGCATTGAGAAGCCCTACATGTGCATAGGATTGAAGCCCAACTTTCATGACATTTGCTTCAGAACATCTTGGAAATGTGCAAACAGCATCGTACTCCATCTGTCTGTCTCCAAGACCAGCTCTGCAGGGGGAGGTGGAGGATTGGAGCCCCCGTGCCTATAAGCAGCTTCCTCCTGACTTGGGGCCTCTGCATAGACCAGGAGTAGAGCTCCTGCTTGCACACTTTATCCCCCACAAAATGGTGTGTGTTGTTGAGGGTGGAGGAAGAAATGGACTGGCTGGTGGGGTTATCCCTGCATGCAGCTTACATGGAACGTGATGTGCGTATGTGGAGAGGCAGAGGGGAACGGCGGCTGCCACCTCTTCCCTGCACTGGCTCACCCCTAATGAATGTATGGCCTGGGACAAGGCCCTGAAGGCAGAGAGGCACTGAGCTTCAGACAGACCCCTGGGGACCTGCAGTGCTCACTGATGCTCCTCTGTGGCTGTCCACTTTCCACCTGGCCTTCCTGCCAGTCTTCTCTGAAGCATCTCATCTATTAAAAAAATCCTGGATCCTTTAATGAAGAATTAGTTAATTGAAATATCCCCCCCTCCCAAACAGCTCTGGCTTCCCTCCTCATCTAAACAAGGCAGTCTCTCATCTTAAATCCCCATCCTCAGGAGATCAGTAAAACAATCTTTAAGTATTTAAGGGGGCTTGGAGCTGCAAGCAGTTGAGCTCAAGGTTTCTTGCCTTGACGTCTGAAATGATGAATATCTTTCCTTCCACTGGCAACACCTGTCCCCAGCAGATTAAGTGAACCACTGTGCCTGCTTTGCTTAATACAGGCGCTGCTTGCAAGTATTCTGTGTGTCTTGGCAAGGCTCGGGAGTTAAAAATATTCCATCTAGTATGATCTCAAAGAGCCTTATTAATAGCCGGGGGTCAAAATATCTGCAAGGCTGCAGCCTCCATGCAAATGGCTGACTCCTGCTTTTCTGAGCCAGGACCTGTTCCAGCAATCCGCTTGTGGTGCAAATGAAAGTTCATTCTAGTGCTTGTTTTATTGATCTTTTGCACCCAATATAGATATCCTTTTTGCAGGGTGTGGGGAGGCCTCATTTTTCTAGCAGTGAGGAGGCATTTGATTTTTGCTTCTAGGAACATGCAGTACTCATCTAAAGCACATGGAATTGTGGTCACCTAAATCTCACAGCCTCACCCCCCCCCCCAAGAAAAAAAAAATAAAAGACAGGTCTTCACAATTATACTGTCTCTTTACTCATCCAGGATATTATTATGTATTATTTATACAACACTATCAGTGTGTATGGTCAGTAACAAAATGACAGGCATAAGCAAAAATAAAGAGAAACTGCAGACCCGTCACTGTGCTCTAAATTTCAGCAGTGAAGAAGGCAACAGCGGGAGCCTGGGGACTTGGGTGACCATGCCGTGGTACCG